TTTGGGGCATTTTGGACTTTCCCAGATATCCTTAAAATGCAACACTACTTAGAATAATATTTTGGGAGTCAAAATGCTAAGTGAAACTCCCTCTAAATCTGAAGTCTGTGGTGGATAAATGAATGTAGATACGCTTCTTTTGCTCTAGAATTAGATTCGAAGGCTGGAATAAGTCTATTAGATATGAACCATTAGCTGATAAAACGAGTGTCATCACTTGTCAATAATTCAATAAATAACTTATACATATCGTGAACATGCAGGTGGAGAGAAAAATACCATTGAATTTATGGAAAGTCACAGCATGGACATGTCAAGTGCACCTCTATTGGATGATGTTTATGCCTATGGAGTTGTGGAGCATCCTTTTCCATTAAATTGTTTAATCCAGAGGTGGTCGCTCGGTCCTGAGTTTTATCAGGCGGTTAAAGTTGGCATTGTTCAATATGTGAGTTTCCAATTTTTTTTAAATCTTTGACTATGTTCCGTAGTTGCATTGGTTTTCTTTGTGTTGACCAATGGCTGTTCTCCAGATGCTATTGAAAATGATATGTGCTTTACTTGCGATGGGTTTCCAATTTTTTGGTATTTACGGCGAGGGAAAATTCGAATGGAAATATGCGTAAGTTATTCTGTATTATTTTTCATGCCTCATCAATCTGTACATTTTAATTTCTTTACACGGTTCTCTTTCATGCTTCATTAATTCATGATTTTTGCTTTTCGCTTTCATTACTATGAAGATACCCTTATGATAATCTGTCAATCAAACTCTGCATGCAGGTATCCTTACTTGGCTGTTATTCTGAATTTCAGCCAAACATGGGCCTTGTATTGCCTTGTACAATTCTATTCTGTGACAAAGAATAAATTAGAACCTATTAAGCCCTTGGCAAAGTTTCTGGTCTTTAAGTCAATTGTATTCCTAACATGGTGGCAAGGTGTAGCTGTTGCCTTCCTTTTCTCGTTTGGGGCTTTGAGAGGGCATTTGGCACAAGTTCTCAAGACACGCATTCAAGACTATATCATCTGCATAGAGGTTTTTTCTACTTACCTTTGTAACATCATATATATTTCTTTATCATAAATTTGCAATTACTTTTTAAGTTTCATATATGGACGTTCATGTTTTGGTCCAAACTGAGACTGGACCAGTCCTTCCTCCAAAAGACTCTGGATTTTGATCCTTGCCCGCTCTGGTCCAAGGCCGTAATTGGACCGGAAACACTAAATATAAGGGTAGGGCACAAATATATTTACATGTTTGACCAGAAATAGATTGAATATTCAGGTCTGGACCGTTGAATCGTGAACACACACACACACACATGTAGTTATATACAACTACTTAATACAAGATGGACTAGGCCATACACACATGGCTATGCTAGGGTTTTATTTATGAGCATTTTAATCACATGATATTTGTCAACCAAAAAAGATAAATCATTTTGGCAATGATTTAACATGATGCATTATATTCATACTGTAGGTACATGAAAATTTTCCTTAAATGAATACTGGTATGCCATAAACTTTCTAATTCTTCACTTGTGAAATAGATGGGTATTGCTGCTGTGGTGCATCTCTATGTTTTCCCTGCGGCACCATACAAGCGTGGAGAAAGATGTGTTCGTAATGTCTCCGTTTTGGCAGATTATGCATCTCTGGACACTCCACCAGACCCTGAAGAAGTTAAAGATTGTGAAAGAAGTACCAAAGTACGGATTGCACGGCATGATGAGAGAGATAAGCGCCCAAAATTTCACCAGAGTGTTCGGGACGTGGTAGTTGGAAGTGGTGGAATTGTAAGAACATTACTCAACTTGTCCTTTAAATTTACAAAAAATGCTTGAGGTTTGACACCAAGAGTTTGCCATCAAGTTTTCCATAGATATGCGCATAGAGACAAATGACTGACTATGTGTTTTTGAAACACTTGGTGTCAAATTCTCGGTGTCAAATCCTCGGTGCAACCCTGACATGACTCAAGGATGAAGCGATTCATGTTTTATCCATTCCCCAAAATTCCAGATTGTTGATGACATGAAGTTCACCGTTTCTCACGTGTTGGAACCGGTCGAAAGGGGCTTTGCAACAATAAACAAAACCTTTCACCAGATATCTGAAAATGTGAAGCCGCACGAAAAACTTAGGAAGAAGAACTCCAAGGATGACAGCTGTCTCGTTCCCTTGAGCTCGCGGACAAAGGAGTTCAGTGATGTAGGGGACGAATCAGTCCAAGGAAGTATGAGTGATGGTGGATTGCCCGATGGAACGGTATCCAGTAGGGCACTATCGTCCCGCTTCAGGTATAGATAGCAGATACACCCTCTCTTTGACCTTACTTGAAACGCTTTTAAGAGAGAACATAACAGAACCACTTTATATTCTCCATGTTTACCACAAAAATAGTGTATAGAGTATAAACATGCATTGGTATTATTGCATTTTTGCACCCAATACAATCAATTATCTGGAGTATGAACATAACAAGTGATTACTTTTGCTTCACATTTTATATTTGTACACATCATTTTTTAGTAAACACGGTAACAGAGTAACAACGATAGTAAACACGTTGGGCATTTTATATTCGAATAGCTTCCTTTTATATTACTTTTTACTCCATTCGTCCCAAAATGAGATGACATGATTACATATTTTGCTAAATGAGTAATGAAAATTGGTAAATAAGGAGTATAAAGTTGATCCATTAAATCATTCCGAGAAGGTTAAATTTTTTATTCGTGTACCAAATTATAAATGAATTCTTTTTAAAAATTATGGGATTTTGTATGTCGGTCGAATATGGAATTTTCTTTTGGAAAAAAGGGAGTACCATGTGCTATAAGGACATTGTTTGGGAAGAACGTATTTAATTAACGTTAGCGTTTTAGATAAAATATTAACGATGCAGATTAATTTGCAAAATGCTAACGCTAAAAGCTACCGTCATATAGTCTTTTTAAAATGGTAACATTAATCTCTAGCACTGATGCCAAACGAGGTCAAAGTGTGGAACGTTAGAAACTTGAAGATTAAATACTCCGTAGTTTATTACCTTATTACCGTACCTACTTATTTTTAAACTAGTTTTTCAATTCTTCCTTTTGACTAAATTATATACAAAATTATCTCTCACCATTTATGATTAATTTCAAATGATTTATTTATCATTTAAATTATTTTACTTGCACAAAAGAATATTTAGTTTATAAGTTAAAAAGTACTTATATTAGGCAATAATCCAATAAGCACTAACTAAAAAGTTCTTTGCATTGATGTTTGTTGTACTGATATAATGTTTGCTGTGAGCAATAAAAAGTGTGCTTTGAGTACTACAAAGTATGCATTTGTTTAAAAAAGAGTAAATTCCATAATTGATTTTTTATAACAATAGTTTTTCATATTTAATCTTCTATCATCAAATATTATCTATGTGGTCCTTTTATAGATAATTTTCCACAAATAGTTCTTCTTTAACCTTTTGTTATATTGGAATTAATTTGAAAGCTAAAAATGTAATTTGACATCAATCTTATATCTAGTAACGTATTCTAATGTTGGTTAGATGGATAACAAAACAATAATGACTATGAATGTGGTCTAGAATTTCGATGAAAGATCACATATGTAGACTATGATTGTAGTAGAAAGCGACTGGAATTCACAAACGATGAATCAGGAGTGATCTCTAGACTTGTGTATGGCAAGAAAAATATATGATTATTTTGAAAATATATTTTTAGCCTTTAAATTAGCGCCAACATGACAGAAGATAAAAAATAATTATTTGTGAAAAGATACCTATAAAAAAGAATCACCGGAGTAATCTTTGATAACAAAGAACTAAATATGAAAAATTCCTATTATAAAGGACTAATTATGTATTTACTCAAAAAATTCGGAAATTGAAACATGACTTTTTCTTTGAGGTGAAGAGACTAAAAAAAACTCTATCTTAAATTTTAAAACGAGATAATATTATTTTTCTTTTTTAATGCTTTTTAATTTTTTTGAGTGAATTCCCTAAAATGATGCTTTCTAATTAGCCGTTTTGGTCCGTCCGAAAATATTCTTCTCATTTTCCTTTTTGGTCCGTCCGGAAATATTCTTCTCATTTCTTTTTTTAGTATACTTTTTAAGGATAAATATCAATAATACCCTTCTATTTTATCACAAATATACTTTTTTAGTACTTTTTTAATAATAAAAGGAGATTTAAAAGCTTATATTATGTGCATTTTTGAAAATTTTGCATTTTTTTTACTATTTCTAATAAGTGTGCCAAGTCAACCCGAGAAGAATATTTTTTCGGACGGAGAGAGTAGTCTAGTAAGCAATAATTACTTATATTCCATTCGTTTCAATTAATACTTATAGGTTGACTTTGCACAAAGTTTAAGAAAAGTAAAATTATGTGGTTAAAAGTGGTACAAAAGAGAGAGAAAAGTGAGTCACAAAAAATTTTCAAAAAATGAAAATAAAGAAGATTAATTTGGAACAGGGAAAATATGATACAGTACCTCATAACTGATACTTGGTCTGTCCCTGAGTGTTTGTCCACTTTTGACTTTTGGAACTGTTCATCTAAGCACTTTGACTCATCACATTCTCTCAATGTGTAAGCCTAAAAATAGTCATGTGTGATTTTGTTTGATTCGTCTTAACATATAGATTATTAATATATAATTTTTATAATTTTTTAATATACAAATTACAAGATAAAATAGATTAAAGAAGTGCATTGGATGGTGTGCAAAAATGAAAGTGGACAAACACTCAGGGATGGAGGGAGTAAGTTTTATAAATATTCTTCAATAAATAATAATTATCATCTGTACTTTATAATAATTTTTTTCCACCATAGTTTTTTAAAAATTGGGGTGATATTATACTTTTTGTTTCTTTCAAAAAAAGTGGTGTTTGACTCGGATCTAGTGCCCTCGTTCCCCACGCATCACCTCCAGCGCGTGGTAAATCCATCGTTCGACGCGCCTGGAGGATCAGTTTTGCTCTCTTTATCCAGCAATCACCGTGCGCCACCATCCCTGCTACTTTTCATCGGATCTGCTGAATCTCCGCCGTACTTCGAGTTTCAAGCCTTCCACTTTCCGATCCCGCATCATCCATCCATAACGTAAGTGGTGCCCTTTTGTTTTCGTTTTGTTTTGTTAGGTATTCTTTATTCTCTCATCTCATCCATGCGGCGGTCTGTAGATCCGCTTCTTTATTGCCACCTTCATACGAATGCTCATGAATTTTCGTTTCCATGATTCGTAATCAGATTTGGTTTCAGGGCTAAGATGGAATCTATGGATATCGTTGGTAAATCGAAAGAGGATGCTTCGCTTCCCAAAGGTTTTGCTTTTTTTTTAGGCTCATATTTGTAGAATTAAGATTCAAGTTGTACTGTATATTTGATTTCGTAATTTACTTTCTTTTTGCTGGAGTTAAGTATGGTATTTGGTATAAGGATATTCTGTGATTTAACTACTCTCAAATGTAATTAAGTTTTCCTGATTTTTCTTAACGGTACTTATTTTGGTGCTTAAACTTCTAGATGAATGGTACTTTGAAATCTTACACAATTGAGTATATATATGTTTGTTTTTTGTGTGGAGGAAGATGATACTGATGGTAAAGTGGTTTAGGGGTATTGAATCTAATACTATGGCAGTCTCAAACAACATGAAACATCTGCTTATTGGTTGATGTCCTATCAAAGGAGTCTGTAATTGATTTGTGAAGATTGATTTGAGTTTGTAGGTAATGAGAGTAGAATGAGTCATAGTGTTGGATGCTGGTAGATGTACTAGATGAAAATACTGTGAACCAAATTACATTTACTCCCTTTGGGTTGTTTCTATACTCCTATCAGTCTCGATTTGTTTGTTTGTTGGACACTTGGACTGAGCATCAAATTGTTTATGGCCTTGTTTGTCAACTTGGACTTTGTTTTTAGCAAAAAAACCTGTATACCTATTGGCCTCATTACTGTTCTTGTTAACATGCATATCTTTGAATTATTTCCAGCAACAATGACAAAAATTATTAAAGAGATGCTACCACCAGATGTTCGTGTTGCTCGAGATACTCAGGATCTGCTGATTGAATGTTGTGTAGGTGCGTAGTATATGTTACTGTTGGTTAGTATTGGCTCATGAATAGATTGGACTGATCCCCAGCAAGATATTCCATTCAAATGTTATAAGATGCAAGTTTTTACCATGAAAAGGCATGGTTTGCTCTGTTGCTTTTGTTGATCTGCTTAAGAGCAACTCATGTGTTGGGCACATCTATAACTTTCAAATCTATAACACATTAAAATGTCATTACAGTTTTGTGACACGGTATGATGGTCTTAAATATAAGTCACTTCTATATTATCAATGCATATTTCATTTGTTTTTTCAAAATTGCCCCACTAAATGAATGGATTTCATTTGTTTGAGGTTGTTATACATAATGACGTATCATTAAATAAGGACATGGAGTTTTATGAAAATTAAGATTATTTTAAATGTTCTTATTTATTTTCTTGGTTTGTCTGAAAGTCAAAATGTGCCATATCATAACGATTGGAGTATTGCTTTGGATCACCGTGGAATTCTCTCTCTCTCTCTCTCTCTGTGGCTCCATTTAGAACTTGAAAAATGGTAGGGAAAGAAAACAAAGTTAAGACAAAAATGATTTATTATATTTGATCCTATATTTTAGAATGACGAGAGAAAATCGATATGAAATATTCTTTCATATATTTAGAGTTTTTGGTCTTTATATGCTCTAAATATGTGCTCCTTTCCATCCTGGAATAAACTTCATGGTTTAACTTCACAACATTTAAGAAAAATATTGAAAAGTAAAATATGTATGGTTGGAATTTTTTAAGAGCTGAGAAAAATTTTGAGCCACATGTTACATTTTATAATCGGAAAAAGTTGAAGTATGAAGCAAGGAAAGTGGGAAGTTTACTTTGGGACAAAGGGAGTTTTGAACCTTTTTTTTATTAATTTAATTCTTCCAAATTTTTGTTCCTTATATTTTCCTTACTATTTTCATCTATATTTTCTTCCCCTAATGTAACCTTAGATTATGATGAGTATGCAATTAATATTCTACTGCACCCAAATGGAGAGATTTATAAAGGCATACACATCACATTGCAATCTTACAGCCTTTGGCAGAGTTACTTTAATTTGATAATTAATGGTTAACTTTTAAAACAGTTCTAAACTCTTGTTTTTTGCAGAATTTATCAATCTAATTTCCTCAGAATCAAATGAAGTTTGCAATAAAGAAGATAGGCGAACTATTGCTCCTGAGCATGTGCTGAAGGCCCTTGAGGTTATTGAATGTTCCTATTTTGCTTAGATGTTGTCAGTTTATAAACCATGTGATAGATCACCTTGCTTGTTATGTTTTCTGAATATGTATGTCATATATCAATTATCACCACTAGATTACTTTATGCCCTCTTTTATCTACTATAATCAATTGTAATAATGCAAACAGTCTTCTCTTTGTTTAATTTTCTTAATTTGCAAAGGAAAGCTGTGATGCTTTATATTTCATGCTACTGCTTCGTTTGCAGCCATTGCTCTAACTATTTGTCATTGGTCATCATGTTCTGTGCTCATTATCATTGACTTACGAAACATTTTGTAGTCATCTAGGTTTTGACATTGTTTCTAGAAATAATCAAAATATATTTCACGTGCAATCTCACCAAATCTCTAATACATTGCCAGGTCCTAGGCTTTGGGGAGTATATTGAAGATGTTTATGCTGCGTACGAACAACACCGGCTTGAAACCATGGTACTTGCATCTGTCACTTTATTAGTTACTCTTCCGTCCCATATCTTTCCTCTAGTATTGACTTGGCATGCTTTTTAATATAAGATAAAAAAATTAAAAATCTTTGACTTTTTAAAGTTTTTCCCTTGATGGCGTAGTAAATTCAAAAGATGTAAAAAGGTGAATAAACCTAAGGGTAAAATAGTCTCTTAGTTGTAAAAATGGTGAATAGTTATTCCATTTTAAGGAAAGGGGGAGAAAGTTATATTATAAGACAAACCAAAAAGGAAAACGAGAAGAAAGGAGTAGGACGAAGGGAATATTACTTCCATTCTACTTTGTAGGCAAAGCTGATGATCAACAGTTACGTGTTGTGAAAAAAAAACTGAAGTACTGAACTATGTTCTTTGGTGTTGTGCCTCCTGGCAGGACACTGTTAGGGGCGGGAAGTTGAACAGTGCAGCTGAAATGACAGAAGAGGAAGCGCTGGCTGAGCAACAGAGGATGTTTGCAGAAGCCCGTGCGAGGATGAACAACGGCATTGCAGTCCCTAAACAATCAGACTCAGAGCCGGAACAACCCAAGTAAACTGCTAACTTCTTACCGTTCATCTGATTGCTATTTAGGTGAAGGCATAAATTATTGCTTCTTAGGTGTTAGGATTCTGTCCTAAATTATCTTGTACAGAGGATCTATTAGCTAGCCTGTCCCCCTCTATTTTTTAATCTTACATGTAGTTCATGAATCTATATGTTTCTGTAATTAGTATTTTGGCATTAGAACTTTGGTGTATCATTGTTAGTTCGAGAGAATTACGGGCACTTTATTGGTGTATCTGAATAATTTGCCTTTTTTTTAACTTGTGTGATCTGAATCGATTAAATGCCAATGTTTTTTAGGAAAATGCTACACAACATATATGTGCACACTTATGCTACACTTGTGTCATAATCCATGTGTGCATACTTGCATCATATACAAAATTTTGAACTACTCCGTGTAACTTTAAAAAACTCTTTAAAGTAGACAAGTTAGGGAGTATTTGTGTACTTCAAAATTTTGAAGTGTGGCATTTCCCAAGTTTTAAATGGGCACTAAATTTATGATAAGTTGGAGTTATTGTTGTCTAAAGTTTTTGAAAGTTTAACATGGGTGATAATATAAGTGAATATGGGGACAAGGTAAAAAAACTTGTTTTCATAATGGTGATACATGTACTCAATAATATCTACTCACGTAATATCATTTATTCATTTTTGATGGAGTCAAAGATTTATTATTTTTTTCTGTTTCGGGGTACGATGAAATAGAACAAAAAGAATCTTTAAACCGCATGTGCTTCTTTCAATAGTGAACTAGCAGTTAGTCAATGCAAATTTTGATGCTTATCATGGGTCATCTAGAGACAACTTCTCTATATTATAAACATAAGGGTTAGGCTTTGTAAAGGCAAACAAGTTACACATGGTCTGTAATGCCTTTTTAAAAATAAGGCATGTCTTATTTACAAAAAACTACTCTCAGGTGATGTATGTTTTGTCGAAATAACTTTCAGGTCCCTACCTATTTGAAAAAGCAAGAGATGTCCTTAAATTTGTTGTAATAACTAGGAAGGGACATTCCATCTAATACTTCATCCATTGGAGTTAATAAATCCGTTTTTCTTATTTTGCCCTTAATATTTTATGGTAATAACTCTTAGGTCCCTCATTTTTTAGTTTCTTTGTTTCTTTTTTGTTTCTCTTTTTTCACTTTGTTTCTTATTTCATAAAGGTATTTTTAAAGTTTCTTCTAAAAATAGCTTCTCAGTTACTACTCACACAGTCAAACTTAAATCACTTTCTTAACCTATTTTTAGTAGTTATGTGATAAAATAATACGGAGTATACTCTTTCATCTCTTGTTTTTGTACTTCCTCCGTCCCAATTTATAGTGCATGTTCACTCTTCACAAGGTCAGACTTTGTTCACTTTCTTTGTCTATTTTCGTTAGCAATGTGATAAAATAAAATACTATTTTTAGTACTATCTTTGTAGATCTTTTGATGTACTCCCTCTGTCTCAATTTATATTGCCTATTTCGGTTCACGATGTTTGATTGAAATTATTTTCAAATCATTTTAAATGACAAATAGTATAGAGTTAAAAAAATAAAAATTACATTTTAAAATGCTACATCAAAATATCTATAAAACTAGTAGTGACTATAACACTTTATTTTATCAAATTGCTAACGGAAATAGAGAAAGAAAGTCAATGGAGTTTGACCTTGTGAAAAGTAAAAATGCACTATAAATTGGAACGAAATAAGTATTATTTTAATATGTAATTTTTATTTTTTAACTCTATACCATTTATCATATAAAATGATTTGGAAATAATTTCAGTCAAATATCGTAAACCAAAACAAACACTATTAATTGAGATGGAGGGAATAGAACTTTTGATATAGTTTTTAAATATATAAATTTTATTTTTAATTTTACACCTACAATCAAATAAATTGAATTAAAAATAGAGTCGGTAAAACCTCGTAAACACAAACGAGAAGATAGTTTTAGGGCAGAGGCAGTACTCCATAGAATTATAATTCCAAATTGTACATTCTAAGACAAAACTAATAATACATACTCCCTCCGTCCAGTGTATTTGTCCAGTTTGACTTTTTTCGAGTCACATTGGACAAACTTTGAGATCTAATTAAATAAAAATTACTCCGTATGACTTTATTGGATTTATCGTTAAACTTTCAAAATTGTATTTCATTATGCTAATATGCAATATAAATTGAGAGTAATTGGAGTTCAAAGTTTATATAGTTTGACTCGAAGAAGTTAAACTGGACAAATACACTGGGACGGAGGTAGAATTCACATTATAATTATATCTAAATACATTTCAAAGGGCTAATAGCATTAGTGCCCCCTGTGGTTTACAAAAAGGGCATCAAAATTTTCTTTGTTTTCAAAAGTTATTTGTAAAGTCCATATGGTTTCTAAATAAAGTGCACATGCCCCCCTTACCTATTTTTAAAGCAAAACTGACATTTATGCCTTTTTCTTTTCTTCGATCTTGAATTTTCCCAATTTTATTTTCTTTTATAATACAAATATATAAAATAAAATATACGCTTCCCATCTCAAGTTAAAATTTTTCAGAATGTATTTTTTTGAAAAAAAAAAGATTTTTTTGGAGAATGTTACAAAAGAAAATGAAAAATAAAATATTATGTACAATGTAAAAATAATAATTGAAAATGGTAATGAAAAGAAAGAAAAATATAAAAAAATATTTTTCTTAAACTCCGTATTTTATTTCATATTTCTGTTCATCATTTTTTAAAGTCCTTAAATAGTATGGTATCTTCATTTTTCTGTATTTTACTTTTAAAAAAGAAATAAGTTAGAATTTTTAATTAGAGATAGAATGAGTATGTTATAATGAAAAAGTGTATTCTATTTCATTTTTAAATTTTTAATTTTTTTGTAACATTTTCTAAAAAAAATTATTTTTTGGAAAATTAAAAAAAATGAAAATTTTAAATTTGAGAGAGAGGGCTTATACGTAGGATTTTATTTTATTTATTTGTATAACAAAAAAAGAGCAAACAAAAGAGGGAAAGTCTAAGATAGAAAAAAACAAAGGACAAAAATGTCATTTTATATCTAAATATAGGTAAGAGAGGGCGTCTGTGCACTATTTAAAAATCACAGGGGTTTTACAAATAACTTTTGAAAGCAAATGAGGTTTTTACGCTTCTTTTGTAAACCACGGGGGCATTCATGCTATTACCCCACACTTCAAAACTTGGTCAAATGTTTGGCCTTTCATGTAAATGAGACCTATTTCTGATTTTTTGGTCAAGGTGATGTAAATGATAATCTCTCTGTCCCATTTTATATTGCCTATTTTAACTTTGGGGCATATTTAAGGAAGGAAAAAAATGGTGTTGACTTTTCAAAAATGCCTTATTTTTTTTACGGGGTGATGAGAAGATAAGGTGGCGGGGAGCAACGTACTTTAAAAGTAGTTTAGATATTTTACCCTTAAAAATTTATTATTTTAAGAAACAAGCAACTTATTTTGGGACGGATAAAAAAAGAAATCAGATAATTTAAAATGGAACGAAGGGAGTATTTATTTCCAGTGCAAGTGAATTCAACTGTGTGTAAATGGAGCAAGGATTGGTATGGTTAAATAAAAAGCAGACCAAAACATATTTAAATTACAGAAATATACAGACACAACAACAGCAGAAGCACACGCCATTGATATATAAAGCTTCATGGCGACTTTATGGATGACATTTTTACGTCTACATTTTCTATAATATAAATAATACGGAGTAAAAATATATAAGGCACAACACAAATCGATACATTCAGATAATTTTAACAACCAAATAACCGCAAACATTCGGGTTATTTTCCCAGAAAGAAGAGACGTCAATAGGCACCCACCACCCTTCCGGTTCTCAGCCAGAAACAAAGTAATCCATTCTTTCTACGGGCAGATTCAGGACCGAAGTCTCGACCTAAAAAAACCAGGAAAGTTTGGGGTGGAGGTCAGTATATATATATATAAACTCAAAGGCATCAGTATTTTTATTGCACTATGAAGAAAAGTGTGTTCGAACAATACTTAAGTGGAATATGAGATCCGCTCAACGGTAAATTGACCGTCCTAATTCCTAACTCAAGTTCAAGATGCGAAAGCAAAATGAACGCGGAGAGGTTATTAACATGTTGACAACCTAACAGTACCAAACTTGCGAAGAATGACTACTTCCAAGAGCTAATGATTTGCACAACTCAAGAGGTGAAGGACTCCATGATGGAATATATTGTATGGCCCAAAAACAGTCCAGTCTGAATTGCCCAGCCAGTTACGAAGATCAGTCAAACAACAACATTATCCCAATGCCTCAAAGGCTCCCGCCCATTGTGGGGTGGGAGGGGGGGGGGGTCGGATTGCCTGATGTTTAAGACATAGAGCGGCTATTTCCACATGACCCATGATGAGCGTCGAAAGTTGCATTGGCTAACTGCTACTTCAATATCAAAGAAGCACATATAGTTTAAAGAGCCAGTTTGCTTTATTCCATCATACTCCAAAGCCAAACAATAGTGAATCTTTGGCTCCACCGGACATGATGGAAATACGAAGATCAGTCAAACAAGGCCTATAAATTTTGGTTAGAAGGCACAATGAGAATATGAAAGTATTCCAACTAGTGATACCCTTCCTACACCTATGAAAGAGGCATTTATTCATCAACAAATTGGGGGGGGGGGGGGGGGGGGGG